ATTTGCCACTGCGGGCGAAAGATCACTGCAGGGTATCCTAGGTTTTTATGGTGGAGGGTTGGTTCAATGGGAAGCCAGCCGTCAAGCTTTTGTGGTGTGAAGGACGGAAAATCGGGCAGAAGATCATCTACGGAGACAACACGGCTGCCATAGCCATCTTGGAAAATCCTGACGGTCCGCAGAGGACTCGACACTTGCGGTTGCGAGCAACAGCCCTAAGGGAGCGGTTAAAGGATGGTAGTTGGATCATCCGTCACCTTCCAGGGGTAAAATGTGTGGCCGATTTCCTGACGAAGATCATCGCTGTGAAGCCTAGCTGGGAGAGGTTCTGGAGGTTCGTCAATCACCAAGGTTCCGGGGTTCCAATTGAGGAACCATCAACGGGGTCCAACCGTCGTGAAGAACAACCTCTGGGAGAAGAACAACATCCGGAAGAACCAGACCAGGAGACTCCTTCCTGGGACAACTACCGAGACATCGCTGGTCGGTGTGTATCAGTGGTGAAAAAGGTGGTTGGTCTGGCCGAGAAACATCCAGAACTAGCCGATTTTCCGGCATGAAGCCCTTAGCACTGCCATTGGAAGGCTGGTGCAAGTACTGGCTGATGCGTATCGTGTCACTGAATCCGTGGTCAAGGATCGGTTCCAGTTGGAGTCGGTCTTACCGTTTTTGGAGAAGAAGAACATTCCTGGACAAGTTGAACACCCTGTAGAAGAAGAACCTAGGGGTATCCTGAAACGGGGGAATAAATCCAAAAGGGGTAACTCAAAACCAAAAAGGGTTCATTTTTGGGATGAAAGTCCACCAATTTTGAAAGTTTTGCGGGTACAAGATCACCACGGTCATGTTGCCCAAGAGCACAGTGCGGGAAAAGTAGAACACTTCCATAAGACCATCCAGGGAGGTGGACAAGGGAACCATTGGGACTTGGATCTTGCCAGGTCCAAGCAAAAAGAATATCGAGCTGCTGAAGATGGACCAAGGTCGGGTCCCACAGAAACGAGGGATCAGGTAGCAGTTCGAGGGATGGAATTTTTGGGGAGTGTGGTTAAGATGGGTGAAATACAACTTCATGGTAAACCCTCAAAAGGGATAGCTCCGCAACCAATGGGAACTCAAAACAATCAGAAGGAAAAAGAAGTCCGGATCCTATTGCAAGTGGGAACCGAAAAAGAAAAAGAAAAAGAAGAACTAAAAAAGGATAGATTGTTGGGAAAAGTACATCGGTGGCTGGAGAAAAAGATCATCAAGACCCAAGGAAAAGATCATTAGCTGCCGGTGGAAAAGATCAGTACAGGGAAAAGATCATCAGCTGCTGGACCCAAAGAACACCGTTGGGCGCTCTTCGAGTGCGGCGCTGTGAGAGAGGGAATTAAAAAAAAACCTACGAAGTTAGGGTTGTAGTTTTTCAATTTTTGGAGTCAGCCCAAGGTGGAGCTCCACGCGACCCTTGGATGAAGGGGGAACCAACACCAACCTGGGACCATGGCACACGAGGGTCTTCGCCCTTCTGGCTGGGGGAAGCGCGAGTTCCCGGAGGAAACGTGGCCACTCCTGAAATTGTTGTTTTTGGTGTTGGGGAACCTGGATTCTTGCAAGCAGGAAGGGGGAGTGCGGTTGGGAAAACAGCACAGAGTACCACTGCACCCCCACTAAGGTCTTTTTATAAAATTTTTCACAAGCGTTGAGACGTCCTCCGACTGTTGCAACTATGGCTCATGGCTCAAGCCATTCAATTGGCTCAAGGGCCAATCAACTGATTGGCTCAAGATCACCGAGCCCAATCTGGAGTGAAAAGGTGCAGCAGCATCTGCCTCTTGCTGGGGACCTCCGGGAAGGAACTCGGTCTGATTTTAGAACCCGTGCTTTTAAATTAAAGATTTCTTGAAATGGATTTTGTAGTATTGGAACGTTGTAATTTGATTTTGCAGTGGGCCTTTTTGGGCTTTGGGCGCGCAGCGGCCACTGTAATTGAAGGGTATATTTGCGCAGTATTGGTTAATTTTATAGTGAAAAACAGAGTGACAGATTAGGAGCATCAATTAAAATAGATTGTTCAATCCTGGGTTTGTGTGTGTTGTGCATACTAAAGGGCTGCCGCCCCTGCCGCCGACCCCGAAAAGTTGGGCAGTCTGCTTGATCAGGCCATGCAGCACAGCACCTAATTGCGTGCCGAAACCGTGCTCAAACTTACCCACAAAAAGTGCCTAACATCCCTTCTGAATTCCTAGAAAAAATTTCTTTTTCTGTTTCCTGCAGCTGTTGTTTGGTGGCTCCAAGCTGCAAGCATCAGGCCTCCAGAACGGACCCTTCGCCACAGCAAAACAGCACCTAATTGCGTGCCTAATTGCGTGCCGAAACCGTGCTCAAATTTGTCCACAAAAGGTGCCTAATGTCCCTTCTGAATTTCTAGAAAAAATATCTCTTTTTTTGTTTCGTGCAGCTGTTGTTTGGTGGCTCCAAACTGCAAACATCAGGCTTCCAGAAGGGACCCTTCGCCATAGCAAAATAGTACCTAATTGCGTGCCGAAACCGTGCTCAAACTTACCCACAAAAAATGCCTAACGTCACTTCTGAATTCCTAGAAAAAATCTCTTTTTCTGTTTCCTGCAGCTGTTGTTTGGTGGCTCCAAGCTGTAAGCATCAGGCCTCCAGAACGGACCCTTCGCCACAGCAAAATAGCACCTAATTGCGTGCCGAAACCGTGCTCAAATTTACCCACAAAAAATGCCTAACGTCACTTCTGAATTCCTAGAAAAAATCTCTTTTTCTGTTTCCTGCAGCTGTTGTTTCGTGGCTCCAAGCTGCAAACATTAGGCTTCCAGAAGGGACCCTTCGCCACAGCAAAATAGTACCTAATTGCGTGCCGAAACCGTGCTCAAACTTACCCACAAAAAGTACCTAACGTCCCTTCTGAATTCCTAGAAAAAATCTCTGTTTCTGTCTCCTGCAGCTGTTGTTTGGTGGCTCCAAGCTGCAAGCATCAGGCCTCCAGAA